TGAGGTGAGAGGATTGCTTGAGACCAGGAGATCGAGAACAGCCTGGGCAACACAGCAATATCTCCTCTGTACAAAAACCAGAAAAATTAGCCAGGCATGGTGGCATGTAGTTCCAGCTACTGCGGAGACTAAGGAAAGAGGATCGCTTAGCCCAGGAGTTTGAAGCTGCAGTGAGTTATGATGATGCCAATGCACTCGAACCTGGGCAGTAGAGCAAGACCCTGTTTCAAAAAAGAAAGGGAAGAAAGAAAGGGGGGGAGGGGGAGAGAGGGAGAAAAAAATGGGTGATCTTCTATTTGCTTTTTTAAAGATTTGAAGACAACCAAATTGTCTTTCTGTTGTATAGGCATTCATTCAAGTAGCTAAATGATTAACAGAAAATTTCCTCAAAGCATGGGAAGGGACCTTAGAAATGATTTTGTCCAATCCTCCACTGACTATAGGAACTTCTTCCTATAGTCAATAGTTTCTCAAAATAAAAGATGAATTTATTTTATTAACGCCTTTTTCCAAATCAGGTTAAGGTGTCCTTCTTTCTTCACTGTGCCATCTACGACTATATGCATAAAAGGAAATTGAGACAAGGTCTCAAATATTCCTTCCTACTCATTGACTCTCAAATATTTGTTGCTAGTTGGAACTCACTGAAAGCCTAAACATCACATATGGCCTAATGATTAATTATTTTCAGTGAAAAAATTAAAGGAATAAGCATTCTTAAATCATAAAAAAAGATTCATACAGACTTTTTTGTGTTAAGACAACTTTTTAAAAAGCATCCATCATATAACATTTAATAAGTATAAATAGTCATCAATAAAAGGAATTGCTTCATTTATTTTTCCAAATGACTCTTCACCAATGGGCGACAACATCTTGAGATTATCTTACTTATGCCGTGGTCACTAGAATATCACATTGCAATATGAAATCAGATCTGTGGTTTCTTTTAATTGTTATTCATTTACATCTCAGGTGCAACACACTTCTCAGATTTTACCCTTGTTGATGGTTTTTGTTCTATAGTTGCTGATGAGGGAACATGTCTGTATTCACAAATCATGCATGCAGCATTGGGATGTAGATGTGACATAAGCCTAAGACAGTTTTTTAGCAAGTAATCAAGGGAGCCTATATTTACTTTAATATATATAAAAATAACCACATATTAGAAAAAAATCAATTTGTAAGTTTAATTTGGGAGACAAGAGAAGATTAGAGAGAGTTAGTTAAAGTGCTCTGAGGTTCAGCATAAGTTCTATGTCTCAAGAAGGAAGGGTTACCTACATGGGATATGAAGTAGAATCAGCAATTATGGGTGAAAAGACTTGTAAAATAGCTCAGTATAATTGGCTGAAGATGAATATACTTGTCTGCACTGTTATAGGGCTTAATCATTTTTATTACTACTTCTATTTTGTTGACAGCAGTTAGATACCAACTTGAGACAAAATGAGTTCTGTCTTCCAGATGTATTTTTACTAGAAGTATGAAGAATAGACTATTCTATTCTTTCTGTGACATGCAGTATATGTAGTCATAATCTTCAAAATCACCATATCATAAATTCATATCTATTTTGTTATTCATTTTCAGCCTTAGGTCTTTTGGACCATTTGATGACTTTCAGATCCCACTCCTTTTGAATACTATTTGGTTTTATTGTTTTCTCCTAATGCAGTAGTTTCTGTTTTGTAAGGGCAGCTTTCATTTTGTTATTTCTACTCCATATTTCTAAGCTCTCTGAAAATCTTTATATTGCTTTGTTGCCCTCACTGCTATTTGCATCACCTCCTAATTTAATAGCATCTGTGAATTTCATTAACATGCTTTTCACTCCCTTTTCTACATCATTAATGCAGCAGCTGTATAAGACAGGACATAACACTGATCTTTGTAGCACCTAGACACATTGCCAACTTGATACATTGCTATTTATGGTTTATCAATATTTTTTATGGTTCTCCGGCCAGTTTTGAATCCATGTGACTCTGCTTATAGCCAAGACAATTTGAATTAATTGTGTACAGATGTCATGAGATACTACATCAAATGCTTCACTAAAGAAATACTACATCTACCATATTATTTCATTTACTGATATATTTTTAAAACATATTTTCAGACTAGCTTAATGTTTATAATCGTAGTAATCTCTCTATATATATCTCTTTTAATATTTATACCATCATTTTCATGTGATGAATACAGATGACACAGTAATCTATACTTTTGAACGCCCTTTTTAAACTTTTAATTGTGGAATAATTTCAGATTTACAGAAAAGATAAACAGAGTAGAGAGTTCCCTTATAGCCTTCCCCTAACCTCCTGTGGTATTAGTATCTTACAAAACCAGGGAAATTTATAAAAATTGAGAACTTAACATTGATACAATACTATTATATTAACTCAACTATAGATTTCCATTCAGATTCTACTTTTTCTCCCATTATTGTCCATTTTCTGTTCTAGGATCCAATCTACAGTATTACATTGCATTTAGCGGTCGTGTCTCCTTATCTCTAATGATCTTTGACAGCTTCTCAATCTTCCCTTGTTTTTCATTACTATTACAGACCAAATATTTGTGTATATTTCCCTCAACTCCAAATACATATATTGTAACCTAACCCCTAGTATCTGGAGTGGGGCCTTTGTGAGGTCATGAGGGAGAAGCCCCCATGAGTGGGATCAGTGCCCTTACAAAAGTGACCGAGAGAGCTCCTGCATCCCAGTGAGGGATATAGCACAGTGAGGTTGTAGCAAGAAGACAGAGTTCTGTAAACCAGGAAGCAGGCCCTCATCAAATACCAAATCTGCTATCATCTGAATCTTGGAATTCCCAGCCTCCACAACTGTGAGAAATAGATGTTGCTATTAGGCTACCCAGTCTATAGTATTCTGTTATAGCAGCTCAAATGGACAAGATAATTACCTTGACACTTTTAAAAGTACTGGTCAGGTATTTTATAAAATGTCCCTCAATTTGGATTTGCCTGATATTTTCTCATCAAAAGAATAGGGTTATGGAAAGTCTACCACAAAGGCAAAATACCCTTCTCTTTGCCTCATACTGGGGGGTATATGTTATTAACATGACTTATCAGTAATGATGTTAACTTTGATCACCTGAGTAACGTGGTGTCTGCCAGGTTCCTCCATAATAACTTAGAAGATTTCCCTTTCCACACTCTATCCCATGCATCTGCAGTGGGGGTTAGTATAATGCCACTGAAGGAGCAGAAACTGGTTTTGGGGGGACAGAAATGACTTATTCTTTTTATGCACAAAACCTGGATATACAAATAGTAAATAAATACAAAGTGTATTTGTGGTATTAATATTTCACAGGGGTCAGGGAGAATATTAGGAAAAAATGTCTAAAAGGCTCTTGCATGTTTATGTGTGGGAGTATGGAATAAAAAATATATATACATTACTGTACTCATGGAAACGAAGTCACTAAGCCCAGAACATATTCAAGAGGAGGGGAATTATGTTTACCCTTCTGTAGGAGGATTTGGAATTCTTCTGTAAGAATATTCTTTTTTTTTTAAGTTATCATTTTGGTCCCTTTTCTGTCAATAGCATGGGTCTATGTTTCTGTGTTAGTTTGGATCTTCCAAGAAAGAGATGTCAAAATGAGATTAGATATGCAAAGGATTAGGAAATTTATTTATAAAAGGTAAAAAGGAGGGATCAAGGGAAGACAAGAGAGCCTTCAGACTGTTACCTACAATGGAGAAAGGAAAGAAAGGAGGATTGGGTAGGAAGAGTCTCAGACTGCAGCACATTTCTAAGAAAGTTACAGTCCAGCTGATGGGGAGTTCCTGAGCCAAAGTACCATTAAAGGGTCCTGCACATCACAGGAAAGAACCTGCATTAGAACCATTACCATATGCAGTCACTGCCTACAAGATCACTTAGGTACCAGAGTCTTGACACAAACAGGGGTAGATTCTAAAGGCCAGCAACTGTAGCTGTCAGTCAATTATGCTCCCTGCAGCAGGAGATCTCAGCAGCATATTTGCATACCCACCACAGTCCCTAATTTTACAGTATTTTTAAGATATCAGAAATTATTTTTTGCAAGATTACCTAATTCTTTTCCCATTCTAGGTAGTGTTTTTTTTTTGTTTTTTTTTTTACTTTTCTAAACATAGCTACATACTATAAAATAACCAATAATTTCTTAGAAACCATCCCTTTATTTTTTCCATTTAAAAATACTGCTTTACTGACTTCTGGTTTTCATAAAAAGTAGAGTATCTTAAATTAGATAACCCCTCCTAAAATAACAATTATAAATTCTTACTAAAATATAAGACAACCAGTTGAAGGCACTGTGGAATAGACTGGGATAAAGGGAACTCAATATATACGTGAAACAAGGAAAGTAGAAAGGCAAAGGAGAAGGAAAGAGGACAAGAAATTGACCTATACTTGAAATCCCCTCTATGACATTTACTGGGAGTCCCAAGGACTGCAGCCAACAGAGCCCTGCAGGGCCTCTCTGGAGTCCTGGTTCAGAGGATCCAATGGTGCTTGAATTGTCTGCAGAAGAATAGGACATTGTAAGGACCTTACAGCTATCCCCAGTGGGAAAAGTGGCCTCAAGGATTTTGTAGTAAAATCATGTACTCTTTCTTAAATACTATTTAAGCAAGTACTGTTCTCATTTTAAGAAACAGTTCTTGACTTGCTATTTATTGAGCCCTGGCAGAGACTGGATATCTTATCAAGAGAAATCAGGAGATAGGCAAACTGGTGTTATTTGATTTCAACAACCCAGAAATACAGGTGTGCCCAGTGGCATCCCACTATCAAGAGAACATGGTATATATAACATCAGCCTTTAGAATGTCATAAGCAGGTGGTTCACTCTGGAAGCCTCACTCCTAAAGGCTGCATTATGACCTCTCTGACAACAGAGTTCAAACTTTGGTGAGATGTTCACTATGGCCAGTTGATCAAGATGACATTTTAAGCTTGACTTACTTCTGTCCAACATAGTAGCACCAGAAGCAGACTGCCACAGCAGGTGGACTTTTAAGCAGTTCTTCGTGGGCCACGTGCCTAGAAACACAGAGGACCTAAAATAAGATTTTTATCAATTCACAGGCAATGGTTAATAGCTCGGCTAGATTGTCAAGTTTCTTGGGGAATCCAGGAAAAAGAGATCTGGGAAAAAGCTACATGTACATGGACCTATTAGAACGGACCCACAGTGCAAGGATATTTGTGTCCCACATGAATGACATCAAAGGGCCACCACTGGGAAGGAGGCTTTCTATAAATAGCTATTTATTAGCCATCTCTTTCCCCTGCCAACCCATGCTTGCTCATTAGGTTCATGAACAAGGAGGATATGGACACAGAAATAGACATTATACAACAGCATAGAATTCCTCTGACCAAGTAGGAATTCCTCTACCATTGCTGCATATCTGTTGGTCCTGTATGCTAGTAGCAGAGACCTATACTAAGTTCTCTATTGCACCATATCCCAGAGGGACCAGTCAAGCATCTGATGGCTTTGATTTAATTGTATCCATTCTATCCCGGAGGGGGAAAGTCTTTGTGATTAGTTTGCCTCTCCTTATTGTGGATTTAGATTTACTATTCTTGATTACTCAGAAATAAATAAATAAGTCATTCCACTTCCTCTAGCCTCTATACTTTTGATGAAAAATCAGTTACTAGGGCTGGGCACGGTGGCTCACTCCTGTAATCCTAGCACATTGGGAAGCTGAGGCAGGACGATTGGGGTCAGGAGTTTAAGACCAGCCTGAACAAATGTGAGATCTCATTTCTACAAAAAAGAGCAAAAGTAGCCAGCCATGATGGTGCCCACCTGTAGTCCCAGCTACTCAGGAGGCTGAGGCAAGAGGATCACCTGAGCCCAGAAGATTGAGGTTGCAGTGAGCTATGATGAGGCCACTGCACTCCAGCCTGAATGACAGAGTGAGACTCTGTATCAAAAAAAAAAAAGAAGAAAAAAAAAATCAATCGTAAATTTTATTGAGGATTCTTTGTACATAAAGAGTCACCTCTCTTTCGGCTTTCTAAATTCTGTCTTTATAGAATTTGAATATAATGTGTCTTGGTGTGGATCTCTTTGAGTTTATTCTGCCTGGAGTTTGACTTTTTGGATATGCATATCTGTGTCTTGCATCAAATTTGGAAATTTTCCAGCCATTATTTTTAAAAATATTTTTTCTGCTCTTTTTTCTCTCCTCTCATCTGAGACTTCCATGATACATATATTGATATGCTTGTTGGTATCCCTCAAATGCCTAAGCTTCTGTTCATTTTTCTTCATTTTCTTTCCTTTCTGCTCTTTAAATTGGATAATACCAATTGACTTATCTTCAGGTTTGTTGATTTTCTCATCTGCCTGCTCATATCTGCTGCTGAATCACTCTGGTGAATTTTCATTTCACCTATTATACTTTTCATATTTAGAATTTCTAGTCGGTTCTTTGTATAATTTCTATCTCCTTATTGATATGCCTTATTTGTTTATACACAGTTTTCCTGATTTTCCTTAGTTCTTTGTCCATGGTTTCCTTCAACTCATTGAGTATTTTTAAGATAGTTGGTTTTAATGTGTTTGACTAGTAGTTTCAATGTCTGGTCTTTCTTAGAGATAGTTTCTGTAAAACAAATTTTTTAAAAAATTTCCTTTGAATGAGCCATACATTTGTTCTTTATATACTTTGTGACTTTTTTTGTTGAGAATTAGACATTTTGAGTAGTATAAAGTGGTACTCCGGAAATCAGATTCTACCACTCTTCAGAGATTGTTAATTTTTGTTTATTGAAGGCTGCAGTCATCCATATTGTCATAAAAGTTTTTGTTCCATTATTGCTGTAGTCAGGCATTGACCTGATGTATTTACTTAAATGTATAGACCCAAAAGGGGAAAAAAATATTTTGTTTCTTAGATTTTCAGATGCCATGAGGAAGCTGCTATGATCCAAGTGGGCTGAAAAATAAAGTGTCCTCACTAATCTCTTAGGGAACTGCCAGACTCACCAAAATACACAGCCCCTAAAATTTGTAGGAAAAGGTCCTTATGAAATGCCCACCCTGGTAATAGCTAGCCACTACAGAAATGTGGCCACTATCCTCATGCCTGTGGAAAAGCTGAAGAAATGGGATTGCGGGGATTGACAGCTGGTTCTTGTGTGTCATTCTCTTACTGTATTTCAGCTGCCTCTCCCTTCATCAAGCACTCCTCAGGCTGCTTGAATCTGTTCAATCAGTGTTCAGTCAGTTTCCAGAGTTCTGATATTGTTGATTATTATAGCTTTTAATAGCTCTTTTGTTAGAGGGGCCAAGGTTAGAAACTTCCTATTCCATAATTTTCCACGGTATCAGTCCCTTCCTTACATATTTTTCCATATTCATTGATGTGACAGTAAAAATCCCCCTAAGATGTAAAACTAGGTAGATTTTCATGCAAAAGCATTTTCAGAAGACAGGCAGGCAACAGCCATTGAACCATTTTTTTAAAAAATTTGTTTTGAACCACTTTTAAAAGGAAAAAGCACTGCTACCTAAAAATCCAAGAATTATGCCTATCTGGATTTGAAACTTAAGAGTTTTTGCTATTGCCAATTTCTGTCATGTGGTTTTATCCCTCCAATCCTTTTCTTACAATTTGTAGGCCAAGAATATGGAAAAAGATCCACTATTGCACTAGAGGGAGGCTTACATTTTTAAAAATGTCTTTATTTTTATTTGATATAATTTAAATGTAAATCTTATTACAAATAAGGCTTGTCTATCTCTAAAGGTTACAGTGTTAACCCCTTTATATAACATTCTCAAAATGACAAAATTATAAACATGGAAAACAGATTAGTGATTTTCACGGGTTACCACCTGGGTTGCAAGAGGACAGGTTGTGACTATCAAAAATGTACCACGAGATATTCTGTGGTGATCAAACAATTCTGTATTTTGAATATAGTGCTTCTTTCGGCTCTAAGTTAACCAAGCTTTGTGACTCTCCTATGTAAAAGGGACTATCTCACAATACTGTTGAAAAGAATATATGAACATATTTAAAAGCACTGTGAAAACTGTAATAAGTGGTTTTTGTTTTTGTTTTTTTTTTTGAGACAGAGTCTCACTCTGTTGCCTGGGCTAGAGTGCCATGGCGTCAGCTTAGCTCACAGCAACTTCACACTCCTGGGCTCAAGCAATCTTTCTGCCTCAGCCTCCCGAGTAGCTGGGACTATAGGCACATGCCATCATGCCATTTTTTTTCTATATATTTTTAGTTGGCCAATTAGTTTCTATTTATAATAGAGACAAGGTCTCACTCTTGCTCAGGCTGGTTTCAAACTCCTGACCTTGAGTGATCCACCAGCCTCTGGCTCCCAGAGTGCTGGGATTACAGGCGTGAGCCACTGTGCCTGGCCAAGTGGTATTATTTTTGAGATTTTTGAAATTATAGTATTTATCATTTACTGAGTGTTATTACATGCTATTCATATTATAAGATCTTCTAATAATCCTAATTTTCTAATAACCTAATCTTCTTGATAACCCTACAAGGACATCCTATAACTAGTCCCATTTGACAGAGAAAACTTAAAAATCGAGACCAGTTAATTGCATAAGGTCATTCAATCAACAGTTATCATTTATTGAATGCTTACTATATGGTAGGCACATATTGAACATTACATCACCTATTTAATGCAATGAAGCAGGTGCTATCATTTTCCATTTTATAGAATAGACCCTGAAACTGAAATAGGTTTACTGAACCAAGGCTGTACACACAACCAGTAAGAGGCAGGCTTGAATTTTGAATCCAGGTCTTTTATATTATTAACCAACACAGTAACTATCTACTTATGGACAGCTTGTAAGATTAGCATATAACATGCAACGTTTATAAAACTATTTTGTTAAGTCTAGAAAGCATATTAGTTCTCCCTGCAAATATTTTAATATTTTTCATCTTTAAATCTTTATTGAAAATTCCATTTCATCAATTAGTTTTATTTTTTTGTTTTCTTTTACTTCTTGAGAAGGGAACTTTTAATCCAGCTTATTAATTCATTTCCTTTACTATCCAGGAAAGATCTCAGAAAAATCTAGATATATGCTTACTTTTAATTGTCTTTTTATCTATCACTGTTTATTTGGTCATGTTCTTATTTTCTGTTATAAAAAATGGAAATCCCTCATGGATTAGAAGCAACTTAATGGGTTACCTAATAAAATGATAATCTCACTTCTTTCTCCACTTTGTAATTTATGTTTAATCACACCTGGGTTTGATTTTCTTGCCATCAATTTATTTTCCAATTCATAGCAACCCCCAAATTATACAGAACTTCTTCTATTCGAGAGTACCAGATACATACAAATCCCAAAAGCCTATCTATACTCACCCCACAACCCTTATAGTTCTCATTCACATTAGATGATTTAAATACTCTTTGCTTGAGACCTTGTTTTTTGGTTTCTGCTGGATTTTCTTCTCACCTTGCTTGTTGTGCTGCCTCCTCCTTTTCAAGATCCCTTAAAATATCCTCTCAATTTTCTAACTTTCTGCATTTTCCTTGATCTCTTAGAGATCGTTATTACACAAAAGTTTTCCTATTTTTTCTTTCCCCCTACCTCTTTTCCATGCTCTTAACATTTCTTACTTGCTAAATAGGTTCATGTATGCACTTCATTTCCCTCTAACCAAAATTCTCAGTGTCCATTAATGGCTTATCATCTTACCTGCCACTCAAGATTTAATCTTAAGAATTATTTTCTAATCTTTCCTCTTCCCCACTCACCATGGTCAACAGATCAGTGTGTGCTTAAATTGAGGTCTTGAGTTGAAATAATCTAAATCAAAATCATGAGGAGTTGTTAAAAATGCAGATTCATTTGCTTCACCCTGGACTAACTGGATAGGTTTTCAAGGAGGGAGCTCAGCAATCTGCTTTTGAAGTAAACACCCCATGTAAGACGCTACATTTAAAGAACCACTACATTATATCAAGTTTCATGTAATTCTATTCATTCTGCCTTTTCTGTGTTTCTCATCTATTTCTTGCCTATTGCTTTTACCCTAGTTTAGGGCTGCTTCATCTTAGCTGGACATATGTAATAGAATTTTCCTTCCTCTAGGATATTTCCCACTAATTCATCCTATACCCTGGGGTCTTATTAATCTTACTAAATCACAGCTCTGTTCATTTAATGTGACAGGAATTTGTTGACAGTGTACTATATACTAGGTGCTTTAGGGCAGGAGATTCTAAATAGAACTGATCATCAGAATTATTAAGCGGGAGAAATCTTTTTAAGATAGAGGTTCCCTATCACCTCAGCTAGGTATGCTACTGAAGGTATTTGATGCAGTTGGAGGGTATTCATGCAGTTAGAATTAATCTTTTCGTGTCACTTGGTACCTCTAATATAGCATTAATCAGTGTGTTGCACGGTAGTTATTTGCCTATGTTCATAAAACCTCCTGCTCTTAATACATACTAAAATACGAGAATCTCCTAGTGTTTCCATGTTCCAGTCTAGTGTTGGTCATTTATGTCATTTACAGGTCTAAAGATGGGAGTTATTAAAGGTGACAGATAACTGCTCCCAATCATTTATGCTTTTTCAGTGTTGCCTACTGTTATGGGCTTATGTCCCTCTCAAATTAATATGTTGAATCCTATCACTTATTACCACAGAAACTAGCCATATTTGGAGATAAGTTCTTTAAAGAGTCAATTAAGTTATAAGGAGGTCTTAAGGTGGGCCCCAATCTGGTAGGGTTGGTATTCCTTAAAAGATGAGGAAATTTGTACACAGATGTGTACACACATGGAGAAAAGACCACATGAAAACACAGAGATAGAACAGCCATGTACAATCTAAGGAAAGAGGCCTGAGAAAAAGAGCCAATCCTGCTGACACCTTGATCTTAGACTTCTAGCCTACAAAATTTTAAGAAAAAAATTTTGGTTATTTAAGCAACCCAGCCTGTGGTAGTTTATTATGGCAGCTCTAGCAAACTAATATAGCTATCAACTATATTTAACATTCATCTTAACTTGGACATTTTTATATCAAAACCTGTTTACCATTACCATGTTTAATTTACTGTGCCAGGTACAGTGGTGAACACAATTCTAAGTAGCTTAGAATCTCTAAGAAGTTATATGTAAGCTATATTCGTAAACATAAATCAGAAACATAAGGTATAAAACAAAAATGCCAAATGAAGAGTATAGTTGTATAGGCACTCAGGAGGGAGAGAGTTGACTATTGGATAGGTCACAAAAGATTCCGATTTTGAGCTGAGTCTTGAAGGATAAGAAGGATTCAAACAAGTGGAGGGGGAAGAGAATAACCAGTGTATAAAGGCAAATATATGTCTACTATGAGAAGAAAATTTTTTTTCCTTCCAACTACATCTGACTTAGGTTCAAGTCTCCTTCCTCCACTTTCTAAACTCTAAGATCACCATATATTTTTTAATTAATAACTTGCATCCTTATAAAATTTAGGCCTTTTTTTTCTGTCAGATAAATAACAGTTCAACTGAATTTGTTCAGGACAACACTGATACTCAAAGGATGCTCTCGTTCATCTTAAGGCTTCTTGGGCTTCTGTGAGTTAGTTTCTGTGAGTTAGTTTGACTTTCAAATGGTCTATGTAGGCAGTAAGCAGCTCATGAAACATTCTCTTTTGACACCCTGTGCATTTTTTGATCTCTTGCCCATTTATCAAATCTCATCACATTATATGGCTCTACAATGCAGGTGGCCTGTGTTTTCTTAAGTGCCTTCTCTTCTTAAGAATGTATTACTCAGTTCATTAATGTTTCATAACTAAGTATTCTAATGTATTTAATTTTTTATTTAATGAAATTTCTAACCTTCAGGCTGAGAAATTATTCAGAATGTTTCATCCAAGCTGCTAGAAAAGTGCTCATCAGTAGGGAGTTCGGAAGGTGGAATTTTAAGAAAAGAGTTGGCAAGAACCTAAATATACAGAGATTTAAGCTTTCATAAATACTTCTCTGCCTTAGCTATAGAGGAAGAAAATGTTCTTGATAAGCATCTAAGTTTTGCTTAAGTTTTCTTTTAGATTTTGGTGACAAGAACGTAACTATGACTTACGTAATTTGTTAAAAGATATTCTTTTAAAGCTGTAAGTTTTTAAAGAACTGTCTGTAGAGACCTTTCTCCTCTATCATTTCAACAATGTTTACTTTGTTAAATGAAATAGTCTAATGTCAGACTATCATCAAATGAGTACACGTTGTACGAAAGGAGCCGGTTTAGCATTTGGTTTAAATTTTTAGATTTAAAATGATGTTCCTAAATAAAGTACACTCAGCTGAATGAGTTTGATTCTTGAAAGGGACTGGACTCAAATCACCTGTGCATCTTACCGCATGCCTTCAGATTCACCGACAATTAAGAAGTCAAAGAACCTTTGGGACTGTTACAGAAAACAAAAATTTTCAGGTCTTTGTCTACTACCCGCTTCAGATAGAATTTCTGGGTCATAAAAAAAAACACAAAAAAACAGAACTTCCAATTTAATTGTAACTCAAATTGCGCCCAATGTTTAAAAGGCTTCCAAATGTGTAAAGTGCAGTAAAACAAAACAAAAAGCACACGGTGAAGAGTTATTGATCTTTTCAAGACCCAAATTTTCAACTTTTTTGTTAAGTATGTTGTGTGACAAAGTTGACTCAGAGACTTTCCGTTACCCACCCCGTATTTCGAGGGGGAAGTATTACCACACGCTTACCTTAGGAAAACAAGGTGCGCTTTGTAACTGGACAGGTAAACCTTTTGGTGAGCGAGAAGGATAAAGGAAACGGAGCCAGTGGCGTGACCCTAGCACAGTCAGTTCCGCGATTACTCTAGAAGAAACGGTCACAGCAAGAAACCTCCACAACCCCCTATCAGGGCGGCTTTTCTAGTGGAGTCTCGTTTTCCGACCGGAAATCAACTCAACCCTCCTACCTGGCTTCGCCCGCCCGGAAGCCGCTGTCTTGGCAACGCGGCATCGTCCCACCCCCTTCCCTTAGCCGTCTGGGCCATTCGGGCTTCGATTGGTCCGTCTGTCCTTCACTCTGGGAGAACGTTCGAGGCCGCGGGGCTCTAGAACTCACTTTTGAATTCGTGGCGCTTAAAGTGCGCGAGTTGCGGAATAGAGCTGAGCGTCTTGCTGGAGCCGGCGATCTCAGTCAGGGGTGAGCGAGCGCGAGGGGAGAGTGACGTAAAAAGGGCGGCCAGAGCTGGAGGGGCGCTGAGTTAAAACAGGCCACTTCCAGATGGGGACTTCGGCCGAGCTGCTCCAGTCCCCTGAGGCAGGACCTCTGGCTGTTCGCCTACTCTCACGTTAGCCTCTTGGTTTTTTCCTCACGTTGTGTTGCTGGCCTCTCACAGAAGCCACGCCAGACCCCATTCTGTAGCGCGTGAAGGAAGGTTCCTCTAATGTCGCCTTCCCTTTTCCTTCCCAGTGTCTCTCAGCTTCCTTCTCTCCGCAGAAACTACACCCCAGCCCCGACGTGCTTTCACCTCCCCTAAGTATAGTTTACTCCTCACTGACGTCTTTCATAATTATATCCTCTTCGTCACCAACACTGTGAAAAATTTTTTACTTGCACCTAGCAGTGTGGAAAAGTGGTTTTCGTGCAACCTAGCGAGCGTCTCCCACCTTACAAGTTGAGTCCAAAACGTTCTTCAGTAAGAAAGGATGCTGCTGTCCTCTTCCCAGTAGGGAATCTACTGACTGTCATGTGGAAGCGCTTTATGAAGCGCTACAAAAATGTAAGTTACTGATGGATTCAAATCTAAAACATAATTATTTTGTTTTTGGTCTGACCCTGTTGATACGTAAGTTTCGTATTGGGGTTATGAATACTGTTCAGACTTTGAAACGATAAAAGCCAATAGGTCTGTTGGAGAACAATCAAACTCTGAGGATTGATCCAAAACACAAAGGCAACCTCTGATCGAAAACTCTTCCTTTAGTTTTCCTGTATTGTGTTAGGACTTTCCTCACTCCAGTGTATTTAATTTCCATTGAGATTTAGGACCATTTCAGGAGTTTTACAGTATAAATAGACAGCTTTCCCTCATGCCGTATCATTGTGAAAATCCTCTATTTCCTTTCCAATTTGGTAATTCAACATGAGCTGCTATATTTTTAGCCTCTAGAACAGAAGTTCTTACCTTTGTAGGGGAGAGAGGTCATAATTCCCTTTAAGAGCAAGAGAAAAACCTTGGAGCTGTTCTCCAGAATAGGATACATAAAATTTTATATCAATTTCAGGGAGTTTTAGACTCCACTTTGAATTATGGAGATCCATAGGACTCCAGTCCTTTTCTAGAAGTTTGTTTCTATTTTTTGAAAAGTAGAAATGCTTAAGCAGCAAAACCAAGTTTTACTTTTAGAAAATGGCCTTAATTTAGCTTCTGAGTTGTTTTAAGACTTGTTTTGAGGGAGGTGGGGATTGAGAAGCCTGACATTTTTAAATGAGCACTGCAGTTACAGCAACTGTAACTGACAGTTACAGGGAGACCATTCAGAGATAACGGTAGTATTTGGGCACAAGAGCAGGAAAAAAATAAATTGACAAGATAGCCTATCCAGAGTCTCTTTTTTAAAATTGATATATAATAATTGTACATATTTGTGGGATACACAGTGATGTTTGGATACATATAATGTATAATGATCAGGGTAATTAATATATCCATCCTCTTGGACATTTATCATTTCTTTGTGTTGGGAAAATTCAATATCCTCCTTCTAGCTATTTGAAACTATATAATATATTATTGTTAACTGTAGTCATTTTACAATACTGTAGAACACTAGAACTTATTCCTGCTATCTAGCTGTGATTTTGTATCCCTTAACAAATCTGTCCCTATCTCCCCACCTTTCTCAGCCTCTAATATCCTCTGTTCTACATATGAGTGAGAATATGTGGTGTTTAAGATATTTAACTTTCTATTTCTGCCTTGTTTCACTTAACATAATGTCCTCCATTTCCGTACATGTTGCCATGAATGACAGGTTTTCATTGTCTTTATGGCTGAATAGTATTCTGTTGCATATATATGCTACATTTCCTTTATCCATTCATCTCTCATTGGACACTTAGGTTGATTCCATATCTTAGCTATTGTGAATAGTGGTGCAATAAACACGAGGGTGCAGATATCTGTTCGATATACTGATTTCCTTTTCTTTGAATATATGCCTAGTAGTGGAATTGCTGGAACATATATAGTAGTTCTATTTGTAGTTTTTTGAGGATCCTCCATACCATGCTCTATAGTTGCTACATTCCTTTGCATTCAAACCAAAAGCGTGTACAAGTCTTTTTGACTAACATAAAAAGTGGGAAAATTCTTGATCCACATGATGAATGAAAATAATTGGTGTTCCTTAATTTTTTGTACGTTTTATATTAAAATAATGTTTATTGTGAAATTCTACCATCACGTACCTGAATATAATCTCCTATGTCCTCTTCCTAACCATCTCAAGTATTATTTTTTACATTAGAACATTAGTTCACCTGGTATTTATTTTTGCGTATGATGTGAGGAATGGCTTTAACTACATTTTTCTTTCATTGCTCTGTTACCATTTGGAAACAATGGCATATGGGTAAAATCTGGCCTACCACCTATATTTATAAGTAAAGTTCTATCTATTGGAACACAGCCATATCTATTTGTTTACTTATTGTCTATGGCCCTGTCTCTGGCATCACCATCTGAGCTCTGCCTCCCCTCACCCCAAGTCCTTGAAAAAATTGTCTTCCATGAAACTAGTCCCAGGTGCCAAAAAGGTTGGGGACCACTGATTTAGAGAATTCATTATGGAAATTGGTCTTTGGTTTGGCTTTATTGTGATTGTCTGGTTTTAGAATTAGGGTAATGGTGTCTGATGTCTTTAAATGATCTGTGTTATATTGGTATTATTTCTTCGTTAAATGTTTCATAGAATACATTAATCTAAGGTTGGTATTTCCCTTTTAATGAAATTAAGAAAATAACAGTAAATTCTACTTGCCTTCATCTTTACCATTTCTAGAACTCTTTATTTCTTCATGTAGATCTGTGTTTTCATCATTTTACTTCGGTCTGAAGAACTTCCTTTTTTTAACATTGCTTCTAGTGCAGGCTGTTGGTGAAGGATTCTATCACTGTTTGTTTGAAAATGTTTTTATTTAACTTTCATTTTGGAAAAACTTATTCTGAAGCCGGATATATAATTCTGGCTTGGCTAATTTTTTAAGCACTTTAATATTCTATTTTCTGGCTCATGTTTTTAGTTGAGATATTTGGAGTCATTCTCCTGTATATAATGTGTCTTTTTTTTCCGGGCTGCTGCTTTTTTTTTTTTTTTTTAAGTTACGTTTTTAAAGGCATAATTTACATATGGTAAATTATTTTTAGGAATAGTTCTATGAGCTTTGACAAATGTAAAGAGTTGCAAACTACCACCACAATCAAAATATAGATTTTTTCTTTACGTCTATAAAGTTGTCTCATGCCCTGTTATCATCAATTCTCTATCCTCACCACCAACCCCTAGCAGCCACTGATCTGCTGTCTGCCTCTATTGTTTTGTGTTTTGAGGATACCATGTTAATAGAATCATGTAGTATCCAGCTGTTTGTGTCTGGCTTCATGGTATAATGCTTTTAAGATTCCTCCATGTTTTTGCATGTATCAACAATGTATCCCTTTCTATGTGTGGGTAGTACTCCATTATGTTAGTGTACCATAATTCCTCTATCCATTCACGTGTTAATGGACATGTGGGTTATTTCCAGGTTTTGGCTGTTAGGAGCAAAGCTTCTATAAACATTTGTCTACAGGTCTTTGTGTGGTCGTAGGCTATTATTTTTGCTAGGTGACTACGTAGAAGTGAAATTGATAGGTCATATGGTAAATGTATGTTGCATTTCATGAAAATATTGCCAAACCTTTTCCCAAAGTGGCCGTTCCATTTTGCATTCCCATCAGCAGCATACAACAGTTCCAGTTATTCTATAGTTACATTAGCACTTGATGTTGTTAGTAGTTTAAATTTTAACTATTCTAGTAGGTGTGCGCTGATGTCTTGTTTTAATTTTAAGGTGCATTTCTTTGATGACCAATGATATACAGTGTCTGAAGGCATTTCTTTACTATCTGTACATCTTTGGTGAAGCATCTCTTAAAATGTTTTGCCTAATTTATTTTACAGCTTTATTGAGGTACAATTGATGGCAACAAATCGCATATATTTAAAGCACGTATACTTGTTAAGTTTTGACATATACATACACCCATGAAACCATCACCATAATCAAATTAATGTACATGCTGGAACATGTATGAACCTTGAAAACATTGTGCTGAGTGAAAGAAACCAGTCACAAAAAGCCACAAATTGTATTAATATGATTCTGTTTATATAAAATGTCTGGAATAGGCAAATCCATAAAGAAAGAAAGTAGATTAGTGATTGCTGGGATCTGGGACAGGGGAGAATGGGGAATGACTGTTAATGAGTATTGGGTTTCTTTTTGGGATGATGAAACTGTTCTAGAATTAGATAGTTGTAATAGTTGCACAGTTTTATGAATATTTAATGTACACATTAAAAGGGTGACTTCTATGGTATATGAATTATATCTCAATAAAGCTGTTTTTAAAAGGGGAAAATACTGCTAGTTGTGATTCACTAATTGACAAAAACATGGAAACTAAGTGTCCATCAGTCGAAGAATGGTAAAAATGGTTGTATAGTCTTAAAATGAAGTGAAACTATTAAAATAATGAAGCAGAGCAATATATATCAATATGATGACTCTCATAATCAGTGTGAAGAAAGAAATGTTGCATTGGAATCTGTAACAGATATAATATGTATTTAAAGTTTAAAAATATATAGAATATTATATAATTTAGTAAAAATATTAAAAAAAAAAAAAAGCATGGGCATCATAAACAT